GTGGTAGTTAGACTAATCTGTATTTGTCAGATTATATTAGATGGAAAAAAGTTTAATTCAAAAAAATAATTCAATAATTTATTACCATAATCAGTGAAAGTTATCAGAGTGGTGAAAGGAGGAAAAAATAATGATATAGAATCTTTACGAGGTTACCAGCTTGCCTAAAAGATATTTGCATCGATTTGAAAATTGCAGTAGATAGGATAAGCGAAAAAAATATAGCTATAGAATAAGGTTCTATAGCTGTGAATAAATTTGAATCATATTTACGTTTTAGTAAAATGCTCATGCTAGAGCTAATATTTGTTCCAGTCCTAAAATATTTGAGTTTGTGAATACATCATATAAAGCACCAGGTCTATTCTTTAAAGAGGTTAAATTTGGATAATAGAGAAATTTCATGAGAATAATATCTCTCCAAGCTTTTGTTTCTTTATCTTCCTAGCAGAATTTTAATAATATGGTTAAATTTTTATTAGAATAATTCATTTGAATTAAATTCTGAAGTGAAGATTGTTTATTTTTTTCTTGAGTAAATAGACTCATTCTACTCTTAACAATAGATTTTATACTAATAGAGAACCTTCTGCAAATACCTGGTCTAGCTAGGATAGATAAGAGTAGAATTAAAGCTGAATAGAAAAAGCTACCACTCTCAATATTCTCTAAATAATCTGAAAATTTATCAGTGTATATGAACCCTTTACGAATCAACTTCTGGAATAGTTTTTTATTTGAGCTGATTCATCAGCCAGTTACTATATTGAGCACTGTTTTTGATTTGAGGTTATATATTTTTTCGTAAACTTTACTCTCAGGCTTACACTCTGCTGATTGGCCTAATATATTCATAGTGTAAGTATGAAATAGTATATAAGATATAGGGGAGTATTAGATTATTCTGTAGTATTCAGATTATATATTGTGAAAAAAAGTTCAATTTGAAAATTTTCCTCAGAGCTATGCTTCTTCAGAGAGGGGAATATCAGAGATGGTTCTTGTCTAGATTAAGAGGCAAAAAAATATTATAACTTATATGGATAGTCCCTTTGGGACCCTACCTGCTCTGGATTTTACAGAATTTGAAATCTGCAGATAGATAGGATAAGCAAAAAAAATAGACACCGAACCCTCATTCCAAAGCTATAAACAAACTTAAGGTCTAAGACCTATTTTGTGATTATACTTTAATAAAGTGTTTATGCTAGAGCAATATATGTTTTGGTCCTAAAACATTTGCTTCAGTGAACACATCATATAAAGCACCTGGTCTATATTTCAAAAGAGCTAAATTCAGATGATGGAGAAATTTTATAAATATATTACATCTCTATTCCTGCATTTTTTACTATTCTAGTCGATTTTTAATAACTGGTTTGTAGCACTATTATTATATACTTTGAGTAAAATTTGTAACAAACATATTTTTCTATTAATTAACATAAGTAAACTTTTTTCTGGATCATACGTGATTTTATTAGATATAAAAGAAAGGTATTCTTTCAATATTGGCATTTTATTGAATAGCGGAATCAAGAGTCCTTTTTCTTTCCAATACATATAGCCTTCACATAGCAATTTATTATATGCTGACCTATTTATAATGATCATGCGATTAGTTTTGGGATTGAAGATTTTTTTGTGAGATTTATCTGTCAGTTGATCTAATATATCCATAGTGTAAACATAAAGTCATAAATGACTTAACTTAATACTGAATAATTTAAATACATATTTTATTATAAAATTAAAAGTAAAGAGGGTTTATATTCTAAAATACTTACATGGATCATGTTACTTGCCAGTATATCAAGAGAGACGGTTTCATTTGTGGAGGAGTCTGTACTTGTACTACTGGTTGTTCAAGACACTAGAAATTATATGAAAAAATATAAAAAAAAGTCCATGTCTTGTTTGTGAATTTCTTACTTATGCTGATTCAGGGTATTGCACCAAATATTGTTCCAAATTTTCTGCAAAGTTTCATGCAATGAATTATCAGATAAGGCAGAAGTATAGGAGTGTGAAAAAATAATAATATAACCTATGCTCTGACCAGAAAAAGGTTTACATCAATTTAAAATATGCAAGTAAATTAGATAAGTAAAAAAATATAGCCTCATAATTTGGCTTATATTAGATAGCAAATAGCAAAGTAAAAATAATAATTTTTTAGAATTTTATATCGCCTAGTTGTAAAGAATATAAACTGGCTTCTTATTTACTCTTTACCAAAGTATACTATTCTCCTAGAGTATACTTATTGTTTTTTATATTTCTTATGATATCGAACCTACTATAGGTAACCATTCTCTTGGAATACACTAATACCTTTTTGCTACTCCTCATTATTATAAATATATGCCCAGGGTTTTCTAGCATTCTCAAGGTTACAGAGGTATATTTCTTCACTTATTAGCCTTTCTCTTCTAGATATGTAAAATATCTCATTTACATCTATACCATCTTCTTTTGCAAATTTGATAGCATCTGCATCTGATATCATCCTGTCTCAATATTTCTGCGATAATCTAACATCTTTTTCTGTGATAGTTACAAATACGTCTAGGTCTTCACTATTATTGGTGGCCCATTTTCTGAGGCACTCTTCACGCTGATCTTGGGTCAAAAGTATAGCAGACGATACTCATTACTAGATTTAATGGGCTCAGATGGCTTACTAGTTTTGGGTTCAATTACTGACTCAGAAGCCTTAGTATTTTCTGATGTTCTAGATGTTGAAGCAACTAGAGCATATATATCTTTTGCCACATAGACTTGGATCGATTTGTTTTGGCTACTTACACCCGAATTTGAAATATTAATATATGAAAATACATTTTTTCTGACTTAGGTAAGATTACTTTTTTGAGGAATAATTTCTGGCATATTGAATATGGATATGTCTGTAGTCTTATTTTCGGGTAAGTCAGATTGAGGTGTTTCAGAAAATTTTTCGATATCACCTAGGCCAGATTCATGAAGCCTGGTTATGATTTTGGTATAATCAAGAATATAATAGTATTCTCTTTTTCTATTATTTTGCAAACATGTTCTATCAATACTGATTTGTAAAAACTTCTTTCTGAGAATAGCACTGCTAAATAGTTTCTTTTTATTTCTTCCACACTATTCAAGATATTCTTGATATAATTCTGCACAGTTTGGTTTTTCAATTCTTTCTTTAGTCTATAAGAAAACATAATTGATTATGAATCAAATGGGATTAGGAAGTTGATCTTGTATTGTTTCTACTCTTATTTTTGTATTAGGGATGTTTTGCGATATCCAATCTGAAAGGCTCACTTTAATAAATAATTCATGAAAATACCAGGTATTTTTGGATTATCTAAAATTTTTCCAAGTTGTTTAAATAATCTATATTTCCTTTACACAAGGTGATACATCTAGGCACACTATATGACTATCGCCAATTTCAACGTGAAGCGGTATATCATGATTACTTAAAACTATATAGCTGGCAAAGTCTTTAATTATCTTAGACTCAAGATCTTTACACTCTATCATCATATATAGTTTGGTAATAAGTGATTTTAAATGATCATTTGCTTTATACCATTCTCCAGAAGCTATTCCAGCTTCATTTAAAAGGATGAGTTTTCATGCTTGTATACAAATATTGGATCTTCCTAATACTTTTCTGAGATCTGATATTGCAAAAAATAATTCTGACCCCAATACTTCTTTTCTAATAAAATATTTTAAAATATTTTTTCTAGAGCATGAAGAAGAATGTAATACCAAAATAATACCAGGTTTTTTTGTCAGGATATTGTACAAGATATGAAAACCAATTGAGAACATATTCTGAGAGAACTTTATCTTCATTATACTAAATATTTTCTATATGCCAGATAATCGATTCTATGAAAGTAGAATCAATTTCATTAATATGGGCTTTGAAGTCTAAGAAAAGATTGAAAAACTTTGTATTTGGTGGCAGGCAACATGGTGAATATAGGAGGAAATCTATCTCGTGATATCGAATTAAGCCTTTTATAACTGCCCAATCTATTAGATTTGCTAATTTCATGGCTTCTCCTCCAAGCTCAACTAGGCCAATCTCATATTTGGTGATATCTAGTTTAGATAACATCTTAAAGAAAAAACTACTATTGGAATCTCCAAGTTTTAATGCCCATAATTTTGTATTTGTTTGAATACATGCTATTGTCACTTGAATAGCTTCATATACAGCATTGCAAGTGAAATTTTCTTTTGTATTATACATATTAATTAGATCTCCTATACAAAGTGATGTTAGGATCTAAAATTCTGGATTAGTCTGTTTTGTAGGACTTGGAAGCTTTTGTTCCTGGTCCAAGGCAGTTTCACTAATAATGAGCTTTAATAAAGAATTTCTCGCTCCAAGTTGCAATCCTGATTAGCACGATGACAATAAAATCTATATGATTTTTTATTTTGTATAATATATGCATTTTCATTTGTATGCTTTCAACCACATAGTGTGCAGTGTGATAGAGAGTTTTGAGTTAATGGGAACAAGTCTGGAATGTTATCTGAAAAAAATGAAAGAGTATACTCTTCAATACAATTATCTCTAAGTAATGATTCTACAAAATCAAATTTTGTCTGAGTCATTTCGCTATTTGTATTATTATACCTTTTGACTTCTAGCTCTGCGATGTCTAATAGAGGACTATCAATAACTTCTAATTCATCATTGGGTGGGCGAATCATGAAGTCAAAAATAGTTCCATCTTTGGGGTGCATTGCTTTTATCACATGAATATTCTTTTTTGTTGTTTTATTATATTTAGACAAACCAAGCATTCGCAAGGAAAATAATCATTTATTTGCAATGTTATCAATAATACCTTTTTCTTGCAACCCTTCTGGAAGTTTTTTACGAACAAGCTCAGTGAATACTACAACTTGAGCAATATTTTTAAGTCTCATACCAAAAGTTGAGATATGGTACAACATTTTTTTTGTATCACTACTACTCGTAATAGTTATAGATTTTTGATTCCACTTTGAGAATATTTCTAAACATGTCTTTGCAAAAGCATAAATAAGTAAATTTTGTATCTCTTTTCTTGTAAGTTTAGGTTTAATAGTATCATATATCTTTCAGAGCAAATCAAAATCTATAATAGAGTAGAGTAGCTTATCCTATCAATAATTCATATAAGGAATAGCCTTCACGATCTGAGAGTATACAGTATTAAATATTAAAGCCTATCTGGTTTTAGTAAATTATTCTAAATTTTTATCTCAAATATTTATAGTATTTATTCCATCATAAAATAAATGACTTGCAAGATGAGATTTTTTAAATAAATTGACTACTTACTTGTATTTGTTAAAGTAGCTTTAATTAATGATATATTAGCTAAATTACTAGAAATTAAATTAAACCAATAGATGATATATTAAATATTTATAATATGTGAATAATTTTTATTAATAATTTGATGTGCAACTCGAATATTTAATCTACTATTAGTCACTATAGTAGCAAATTTTGATGATCTAATTTTTTTAAAATTGTACTAGCTTTATTTGCAATAAATGTACCTGTTTAAAAATCTAAAGAATAATCTTGGATAGAAATTAAAAACTCTTTGAAATTTGAGTTGAAACAATGTAGTTATATAAAAAATTATTAGATAGATTTGTCTAATCTTCAAGAGTCAATATTAAATACTGCTGATTTGTAAGAGATTTATTTATATTAACTAAAACAGTTGCAAGCTTTTTATCTAATAGACAACCTGATAAAGTATATCAACTTGAAGATGTATAGCCAGGTTCCAAGATTTTAAACAAATCTACAAAAAAAAGATTATTAATAATAGTCTATAGAATACTACAACAAGTAAAAGCTTTTAAAAAATATGATTTATAAGCTTTTTTTTTCTTCAGAAACTGATTCTATAGGTTTAGATAAATAATCAGTTTTTTTTGATTTTTTTTATTCTAATCAAATATAATAAAATTATCATCATTACTATCATCTAGAGATTTTTCAACTCTTTTAGCTACAATGCCTTATAAAAGTTTTTCTGCATTTTTAACTTGACACAGAAGTGAAGTAAGTAAAAAATTTTTTTATTTAAAAATACATTGTATTACAAGAAAAATTAATATATTGTATAATTACTCTTTGCTTTGATTAGGGCTTCTATTTGATCTTTTATACTTCTAACCAAATTTTTTGTATATTCTTTAGGTAAGCTATTCTATTCCCTTGTTATTTTGTTCTTTAAATAACTAAAGGTTTTAATTTTTTTTGCTAGATTTATTTTCATGAACCCTCAGATGTTTTTAATCAGATTTTGGTTAGATGATATTAACAACTAGAGGAGAACTAAATATTATTTTCTTTCTTCCAAACCTTTGTAATTTTGAACAATGCTTCAGATTGTTGTTTTCTTGCAAGATCTATCTCTAACAATATTTATTAAAAAGGTTCACAATGGAAGGAAGAAAACCTGTTGTATACAGGGTAGTTATATATTGTATATTAAGGTAATATGTAAAGCAGACCAATCTACCAAAACCCAAAGAAGAGAAATAGCTCTATATATGAACCTTTATTGGATACTTGATAGAATAGGTTAATTTTCTTTTTTTAAGAAACTGCTATGCCTTTTTAAGTTATTGATTTAAGTGAAAGGTGCTTTTATTGATAAATATTACAGAATTCTAGTCAAAATTCTTATGCTTCTTTACTTACAAAAGGTATTTTTTCGATATTTCTTCCCAAACAAAGGTTTCAAGAATTTTTTGTAATAGTAACCCCATTTTCACAAAGATGCCATTGAATAGTACACATATAAATATTGATGTTCTGTTTCATCAGTTCACAATAGATTTCTGAGGCTGTAATATCTTTGTTTTCTTTTTCTAGCTCCAAAATCCATTTGTCTTGTTTTTGGGTAGTAATCCTTTTATGACCTGATCTTGGTTTGTCACTTAGATTCTTGATTTCTTGCCACCTTTTTACCCAATAACACACAGAACTTTCATTATAATGAACTTACTTTGCTGTTTCACAGATTGGATATCGCAAAACATCCCTAATACAAAAATAAGAGTAGAAACAATACAAGATCAACTTCCTAATCCCATT